GGGGTGGTTTGGAGGATTTATTAGTTTCTTACTTACTCCTTCTAGAAAGTGGAATGAGTGGTGAATCTTGAAAGTTATGTCAGAAGGATCCTTCCTGTGATCACATTGTATAAATGTGAAAAGATTATCATACTAAAAATGTTTTCCCAATTGAAAATTTAAATAATTTTTGTTTAAGTGACGTATTACATTAGATATAAAAAATATTATATAAATATTTGAATTATATTAGGCATTCAAATAGTAAGTTTAATTTTGAACTTTAGAGTATAACAGACCCACAAAATAAAAGGTAGTATAAAAATTATAATTTTTTATTAGGATGGATCATATTTTTTAATAGTTATATTAACAGATACCAATGACAAGGGGTTATGTGTTACATGTGCACAAATGTCAGAAGGTGTAAGAGTAATACTCTAAATGTGAGAGATTTAAATGATTAAGTGACAAATATGAGGGGATTTAGGTGTAATTTATCTATTTAGTTTTAGACGACAAATTGACGGCTGTTAGTTTCAAATGTACACTGATACAAATTTTTATATTTGAGGGTATAAATTGAAATTTTTGATATTTGATGGTGTAAATTGATACACAAAAACGATATTTTGTGGTGCAATTTATGATTAATCCAAAAAAAAATTGATATTGTACTTTTAAATTTTATAAATTTTGTGTTCAAATACAAGTTTTTAATGTAGTTTATCTTACAATAAAAAAATTTATAAACTTTTAAAATTATATTACAATTTTTAGCTCTGAATTATAATTTTTTTTTAAGTTAAGTTATTAATTTTATGGTAATTTGCAATTGATTCTAATAAATTTTAGAAATCAGTCTCAAGTTGCTGCAAAAATTATAAAAAAATTTCAATAATTATAAAAGAATTTCAATACAGTCTTCTCTAGAATAATATTTTCATAGGGTAACAGGATTATGGAAGTCCCTATTTTTCATGCTTCTTTCACGTTATAAACATATTTGTGCCATGCTCTTCTAGAAAGGTGTTGCTCCCTACCCCTGAACTTATTATGCCAATTTGGACAATAAATTAATTGATTTGAATTAGGGTTAATTGAATGTGTCGTATACAAATAGTTACCATTAACTAGTATATTTTTTTAATAACAGCTGCTTAATACTTACATGATACCTACATGAATATTAGGTACGTACTTCCCCCGATAGATATCTCAAGTAGTAATAGGATTTATCTCAAATAAACTCCCTAGTTCTGGCGTAGATGATCTGTCTTAAACTGTATCGGAGCGAAAAAATGATTAATTGATGTGTGCGTAAATTGATCTCGACACTTTTGACTATTGA